ATCGCCTGCTCTATTATGATATTGTCTGTCATCAGCTGCCAGATTTACCAATGCATAGTGCCTATACCTATGGCCAATAATCTCGTTCGTCTGGTCTGTCAATCTGTCAGTATTGCCAATATTCGCGTCGCTTCAACTTGCGTTAGGACGAGCAGGATATGGAAAGGATGTTAAGGGAAAGGGAGGCTAATGCGCTTAATAGACAAGCCAGATTACATTTTGTACTTTTCCATTTATTGAAATTGAATTTATTGCGATTAAGAAAGATTTGGAATAAAATCTTCTGCTAAATGTGAAGTTTTATCTATATTATTTATTGGGCTTCCCAGTATACAAATATCTAACTAACCTTCTTTAGTTTCTAGATTTTATTTAAAATGTTTTATACTTTTTTTTAAATAATTAATTTTTTGCTTTTACAACTTAGATTGTAATCGTATTTCTTTTATTTAAATGTTTTCAGATATTTAAAAAATTAAATTAAAAATACCCAACAATAGTTGCCTTCCAGAAAAATTATTTTCAAAACTTTGTCGACACTCGACAGGTCGTGCACAAATAACTACACCTCAGCAGCTCCGCCACTGGATTTTCCCCACTCCCCTGTCAACCCCCCTTGGCCGCTTGACGACGAGCGAGTTATTATAATTAATGGGACAAGAAAAGTTTCGGGTACCGCAAAATTTGCTCTAGTCTGGCGCAGAAATTTCAATTAGGCGACGACCTCGCCTCATTAGCATGGCGGATATAGACGAAAAAAGATGAAATAAAAAATGCAGTGACACGTGCAGCGGACTGAAATAGAAGTGAATTAAATTCCACCTTTGTTGGGCAAATATTATCCACTCGCCGAGACTCTCGACTGTCGACAGTCACTGATGAAATGGAAAACCTTCGGCTTTCAAAAACTACCATTGCGAAATGTCAAGTGCAGCCGATGACGATGAGGATGGAAATGGGAATGGGAATGATGTTGATGTCCAGTTGACAGGACAACATTTCACCGTCTGGTCGAATTTTGATTTGATTTCGGATTTCTGATTTCCAAGTTCTGACTGCTGACTGCTATATCCTTTGGCGAGTCAATCGTTTTGATTTGGCAAACACTTTATCACTTAATGTTCGTTTGTGCCAATTTATTCTTTATATACCGGTTTATCTACACACCAAAATGGTTGCACTGGAAAAAAACAGAGAATAGCAACCGAATTACGGAAAAAACCCTGGTCTATGTATTTAAAAAGTTTTAACACTTTTTTTTACTTAACTATAATTTATTTTACATTTTTAATGTATGTAAAAATAGATTTTATTAAATTATATAATAATTTAAAAATAAAAATTATTTTAACTTTAATTTGCAATGTATTTCAAATTCGATTTTATCGATTTAATTATATTTTAGAAAATAACGAGGACGGAAGCTAACTTCGGCAAGCCGAAGTTTTAATACCCTTGCAGATTTTACGAATTAAAACTTGACTAGACTAGCAACATAAATTAATAAACAACAAAATATTTTATAATTGAAAAAATACAATTTTAAAATTTTTCACCCTATTGTTCCTATAAAAAATACGATTTGGAAAGATTCATGCCAATAGCTCTTACACTGAGCGAAATATCTTAATTTTTGTGAAAGCTATATCCGATTGTTCCTATGGGAGCTATAGGATATAGACGTCCGATCGGGTCGGCTTTCAAACTTGATCTGCGTACACATGTTTTAGGACGACTGTGAAAGTTTCAAGGCGCTAGCTTTTAAACTGAGCTCGCAAACGGTATTGAAACAGACATACAGACGGACAGACGGACAGACGGACAGACGGACATGGCTATATCGACTCCCCTATTGATCCTGATCAAGAATATATATACTTTATGGGGTCGGAAACGTCTCCTTCACTGCGTTACAAACTTCTGACCAAAATTATAATACCCTCTGCAAGGGTATAAAAACTTTTAGCCAAAATAAATCTAAGTCGAGATAATTATATTTTAATTTTAAATTTGTAATGCTTGTACAACTCGTTTTTTAAAATTTATAATATAGAAAATGCGCAACTTTTTGCCAAAATAAGTAGGGCGCTTTTCTCGCAGTGCATACGTGTCCAGCTTCGTTTTTTCCTCTTATGTACGCAGAATCTGTCTGCCGCTTTTCCTTGGCCTTTGTGGCTGCTCTTGTTAAGTGAAACAATTGAATTGTTAACTGAACAATAAAGTATTTTATTATTATTAGATTTTTGCTGCCATCCCATTGCCATTTGCCTTTTGTCACATCTCGCATCTTGCGGTCCCTTGTATTTTCCTCTGATTTTTCCGACTCTGCTCAGACTTTCTTTCCCCTTCCCTTGGCAACTTTCCCTTATCCAAAGTCTTAAGTGCCTTTCGAGTCTGATATGGCTTTCGGCCATTTGGCTGTTTGGCTGTTTTCGGCGACTGTCTCGAGTAGATTTCCGACATATTTCCCGACTCCTGTTATATGTCATTTGTATTATGTTCGGCGCTTTTCATTCCCTTTCTTTTCTTCGGCCGACTTTCCCTTCCCGGCTCCCTTTTGTTGGCCTTTGATTCGGTATTGCCAAAGCCATTTAGGTTTTTGAATTTATGACCATTTTGCGTTTTGTGGCTCCTTCTCAAATGCTCGGGCAATTTATGATTCTTGGCCTTTTGGCGCACCCTCTACTCAGTGTCTCGATGCTTTTGATTTACGATCCGCAAATATGGGAGGCCAAAAGGCGGATGCCCGATGCCCGACTGCCCGGAAAAGGCAAGGTTGGCGGTGTCGGCAATGTTGGCACCCAAAAATCAAAGTCAGGCCATTTGTCTCCCGGTGACAGTGTTGGGCACGCACGACGGGTAATAAATAGTGTTGCGAATGGCAGCGAAATTAAATGAAGCAAGTGTGTTGAAAAATGTATTTTAAAATGGGAAATGTTAGTTTTTAAGAAAGGGAAAAATAACAACAAACTGTAGATCTTAGTTTCTGTTTTGTTGTCAAAATTAAAATTATATTTACTTGGCCTAGTATTGTAAATTCACCATTTTACATATTTCAGTGTTGCAAAACAATATATAATTCGCTATTATTACGTAGTGTTGTATAGTTACCAAAAATGAATTAGAACTGAAATCCTCTACTCGAAGTACTTAAGAAAAAAAGTGATTGCTGTGGGTAGAAAAATCCTAGCAACCAATTGAGCGAAAGGCAATCAACAGGCGACCGAAAAGTTGGCCAAACATTGCGGCAGGCCGGCTTCCATTTAATTGAAATGTTTAAAATGCGACAGTGTGGAAAAATGCCAGAAGGCACCGAAACGAAACACGCAGGGAAAACCCTGCCTATAAGTATGCTAAGCGAACTGCAAGGACGAATGGCAGGCGAAAAGAGGAAAAGCGGCGAAATACTTTACAAAAATAAAGTGCAAGAAGGCAGCAAGTCAAAAAGAAAAACGTGGTGTCGATACAAAGACAACTTTTAATGCCATTCAACAAAGTTGAGATAGTTTTCGGGCACTGGAAGAAATATTTGATGTTACTAAACAAAGATCAAGATAAATGAAATATTTATACAATAATAACATAAAATTAATATTTATTTATATTAGCTGGAATTTATTTTATTTTAAATATTTGAAAGGGTTACTTTCGTATCTCTTGTTTCAGTGCAAGGCGCAGTCGCAGCCGATGTTGTCCTCTATTTTTTTTATTGTCCTTTGCAGGACACACGGTGCACATAAAGGGCGGATTGCCGTAAAAGGCCGCAGGCGTTGGAGCAATCAAGACGCCGTGGCAAGTGGAAAGTGGAAAGTGCAGCAAGTCAGTCGAAAATGGAAACTTTTGATGAGCTCTGTGTGCCTGTGTCTGTGCCGGTGTCCTTGCGATAATATTTAGAGCACGTCCTCGTTACGCACACTGCTTTTTAGCCGAGAGCCCAGTGAATAGTTTTACGCTTGATTTATAAATCCAAAATAGGCTCTTGCTTATCGCAATCTATATTTCATATTTAGTTCCGTTCAGCAGAAAACCAATCATCTGCTAATCCAGCTGCATTCATAAGATATTCATTTACGTTTTACAGCATTTTGTTTGCTCTGGAGCTTTGCCTGTATGCGGGAAAATGGTAAATGAAAATGGGAAAATGCTGAATGCTGACTGCGGACTGCTTCCTGCACCATTGAATTAAATATTTCACATCGCACACACACACTTTTCCTGGCGGAAAATGGAAAAGCCAATGGCCTCCTAACCCTTCGCATTCGTGCGGCGGCATTTGTGCAGCGTTTTGAAATGATTTTTCCATTGCATTGCCATTGTAGTCGCATTTAAATTTGTCCATTTGATTCCATCCCATTGTTGCATTTGCTCATGCCTCATTTGAGGCGATTACATACAACAAAAAGCAAGAGAGAAAGAGGGAAAGAGAGCGCGAACATGGAGAAAGCGGAAAGTGGACCGGAAGTGGGTGAAAGTGCGGGGTGGCAGAGGCAGAGGGCAAAGCACTTGACCACTTGCCACCGCCATTTGTCAGCGCGAAATCAGACCATCAATTATTTTGCTCAAATGAGGGCTGCAAAAATATCTCCAGTACTGTACAGATAAAAAGGTTTTTTTTAAATACGTAAATACTACAAATAGTGTGCACAAACGGAATTTCATGAATTTGCCTTTACACGAAATTCCACTCTAATTGTAAAAGTCTGGTAACTCTGTTTATTAGGTGGCAACGCCAATCGCTTTGCTTTAATTGTTATTTTAATATTAATATTAAATATTATTATTAATTTGAAAATTATTTTTTCACTCAGGAAGTGATGCTTTCGATTCCCTAACAATAAACAGTTTATGAGGTGATTTTTTGGGGGGCAAGTCATATCGCAACCTATTTTGAACAGTCTGGCAACCCCAAGGGTCGACGAAATTCACGAAACTCACCGCATAAACATCGTAAATATGAAATTAATCAAAGGAATAAAAGGAAAGAAAGCTCTTCTACTCACATAGCCAGTTCATGCGCTCCGTGTACTCGACCTTGCGCTTGAGGTCCTTGACCAGAGCGCGAAAGTCGTCGTCGTTGAAGTGGCACTGGATGATCGTGTTGTTCAGCTGCAGGATGCTGTACTCGTTGTTGCCATTATTCCCGTTACCGTTCCCATTCCCATTTCCGTTATTCGAGGCGCCATTCAAGGTCATGTTGTTCGTCGACTCAATGTCGGTGGCACTGGCCCGCATCCTAATACTGCCGCCCAGCTTGAGGGCCGCCGCCGCCTGTTGTTGTGTGGTGGCCGCCGCCACATCACCGTCGACATTACTGCAAGATTTACTCAGTATGATGGTGGCCCGATTGGCTATGGAATTGGCGGCCAGCAGATGTTCGCCGGCGGCGCCGCAGCTGCCGCGATGAAAGGGCAGCGCCGCCTTGCCGCAGTTGTTGTTCTTCAGCGTAATGCAGTGCAGCTGATTCTGGAGCGCCGCCTGTACCGCCGAGCAGTCGCTGGCCCGCCGACGTCGCGGTTCGCTGCGATCGCTGCCCTCTGAGGGGGCGGTGGGTTGCAAGTGGGTGGTGGTAACAGCACCACTCGAGGTGGCAGGTTGTTCAACGGTTGCCGTTGCCGTTGCCGTTGTTCCGCCTGGATTCGACATGTTGTTGTTGTTCCGTATGCTGTGGCAATTGTTATTGTTATTATTATTGTTGTTATTGGTGATCCTGTGCTGCTGCTGCTGCCTGATGACCGTTAGATTGCCGCTGCTGCGATGATCCTGCTCTTCGTAGAACTGAATGAGCAGCTCCTCGAGCAGATGGATGTTGCTGCCGGCGCAAAAGGACTGCGAGGCGGTGGCGGAAACGGAAGCGGAGGCGGAGACGGAAACGGAACCGCCAACGGAAACGGAAACGGCCGCTGTGCCGCCGCTTAAAGTAGAGCTGCTCGACGACTTCCGGCGCACAGTGGCCGTGGTGGTGGTGACGGCAATCGCTTCAATCTGCTGCTCCTCCTGCGGAAGATACTGCTCCTCCTCCTGCTCCTGCTCCTGCTGATGATCCTGCTCCTCCTGCTGCTGATGATCCTGCTGCTGCTCCTCACTGCTGCTCACCTCTGCCTCCAAGCTCAGGCTGCTGCTGGTCGCGCAGGCGCAATCGATGGCCGCCAGTGGACCGGCTATGGCCGCCGTTGCCGCCGCCAAGACAATCGCCCGCTGGTGCTCCTTGCCGGGATCGAAGATCGAGTGGCGCAGCAGGATCTCCTGCAGCTGCCGCTTTTGCCGCCGGGCGCTGTAGGGATTCACCAGGCGAAAGTCGCCGTAGAATTTGGCCAGGCAGCGCACACGCGACGCAATATAGCCGATTTTTCGCAACAAACGCACGTCCGCCTGCTGCAGCTGCAACTGTTGCAACTGTTGCTGCTGTAGGTTGCTGTTGCTGTTGCTGCTGTGGCGTTGCAGCAAGCCGGTTGCATTGCCACCGCCGCTGGGGGAGCTGCTGCTGCCGCTGGGGGAGCTGCCCTCCTGGGCGGTCGTCTGGCAATCGATCTCGATATACTCGCGGTAGCACTCCTCGCTGTCCTCGCTCTCCTCCACCGGACTGCTGTCCTCGATGTCGCTGGTGTTGCACGTGTTGCAGGTGTTGCTGGCAACTATTGTCGCTGTTGCTGCTGCTGCCGCCGCCGCTATAACCGTCGTGGTTGTGGTCGTCGCATGGATATCGCTGTCGGTGATGGTGGTCGTTATAATGGTCAGAGTTTCGAGCGTTTCCTCGTCGCTGCTGCTGGTTGTTGCTGTTGCAAGTGTTGCAGGTGTTGCTGCTGCTGCTGCAGATGTTGCTGCTGCTGCACTGCTGCTGCCGCGTCGACTGCTACTGCTGCTGCAGCCGCTGTCCTGGTACATTTATAAGCAACCCTTGCTAACTCTTTTTTTCAGATTTTCTTAATTTTCCTGATTTTCCTGGCTTTCTTGTTTTTTTTTGACTGCAGCTCGTGTTCTTCTCAACTGTCTTAATTGTTACGGCCTGGCGATTACTTTTATATTTCTTCCCTATTCGTATTTGATTTGCTGCATAAATTAATTTTCACGCAGAGGACGAGGAAATTGCAGGATTTTTACGTATTTTTACGAGGCTGGCGCCGTTTTTATGACCGTTGCTGCTTCCCTTTTGTTACTTGTTACTTGCAATTTGCTTTTTTGATGTTTATGCCACGCCAGCAAAGTTATGCAAATTTTCATCCGCCATCCCTCGTCGCTCTATATATATGTATGTATATATCGCGTATACGTATCGCGTATACGTATCGCGCATACGCTCCGTATGCCGCCGTCGCGTTGAAATCAAATCAATTCAGTGGAAAAGTTGCCGCCACTCGCATTTCTTTTCGGCATGTCAACCGATTCGCTTTTCGCTATTTTCTCTGCTTCGCTCTGCTTGTCATTTGTGTGTTTTACATTTTATTGTGTTTTAATTTGCATTATTCAGCCGTTTGTCCTCCTGCGCTGCTCCTTCTTCCTCTTCCCCTTCTCCTTCCTCTCCTTCCTCTCCTTCTTCCTTTTCCTCTTCCCCTGGGCGTCACTTCCGTTTCCGTTTTCGGTGTGCTCGGCAAAATCTGCAAGGGAATGAGAATAGGGGTAGGTCTATGAGTTTCGGTCGAAAAATTATGAAGGAACGAATTAAAGTGCTTCCTATGACGAGGCGAAACACTGACACCGGATTAAGTTGCTAATTTTACAAAATAAAGGGAGAGAATATAATGGCATATCCAGTCGATAGGCATTCAAACCTAAATCTATTTTTTCACCCTAAAATATCAGTTTTTTGGTCATAGCAATGGAAATAATGATCCAAATATGGAGTGTCATACCTCGTTGACCTCGTAATTAAATTCCCAATCAATCGGCATTCAAACCTAAAAATTTTTAAATTTTGTTATTTTTTGCAAAAAATTGTGATGTAACCCCTTATCAAAAATGCGAAAATTGGTCAAAAAATAAATTTCCCAGAAAGTGATGGGATTCGTTAGCATAGGTCGATAGCTGTTCAAAACAGTCGGTCTTTTAGCTGTAGGACTTGATTTGTTCAAATTACGACTGAAAAACCAAAAAAATAGTACGAATTAAAACAAATTTGAAAATGCTTCATAAATTAAGCCAAAAACCTTTTAAACGGCCTTTGTTCTTAGATTTATATTTCTTAAATATAGTTCTTAGTCCTCTTTAAACAAAAATAAATTTCCAAATTCAAAAGGCAACTTAAAGGAAATAATGAAAAGGCAATAAATGCCTTATATCGTTATTTTCGGACCACAAAAATCCTTCAAAGCTGATTGCTTCAATAAATTTTGCCCAGATAAAAGACATAATAGATGTGTGTGGATATTTTGTGGTGCGTGCAATTTGCACTGATTGAATCAAAAGAAAAATACCAAAAGTTGTCTGCCTTTTGCCTCTTAATCCCGGGGATTTGTCAAGGATCCGGTGTACTTTAGACTCTCTGACTGGCTTTAATTAATACAAAATCAATCAGGCGAGCGGCCAAGGAGAAGACAAGAGATAGAATACACGGACCCACAAATAAACAAATGGATAAATGGGAGAATAGCAGAATAGGAAAACAGCAGCAGCAGAAGCAGCAGCCACACAACAATGTAAATATTTTATGAAATATTTTTACTACTTGCTCGGCACTCTACGTTCTGTTTTGTTGTGACAATCGATTGCAGTTTGCAGCTAGCTGCGCCTGTCTGTGTGTGTGTGTGTGTGTGGTGAAAGGGGGTGGAACAGGGAGTAGAGTGGACTAGGGTGGACCAGGCTGCAAGGTGATTTGGGTGGTCACTCGACAATCCCAATAAGCAGACGTGCTCGACCGCAGAGACAAAGGCGTTGCCCACTGGCGGTCAACCTTGCGACCCACTGACGTTGGTCTTGGGCTCTGTGGGTGGTCGAGTGGGTGGCTGAGTGGGCGGTCGGGGGGGTGGCGCTGGGTAAACAGCGGGCAATTGCACAAAGCAACGGCGGGCGGTGAGCAACATCAGCAACTGTCGCCATCGTTGACAATGACAGCAAATGTCAAACAGTCTTTTCCACTTGGACCACCCACTTCCACCACCCCCTTTTAAACCACCCACCGCCCACCGCCCCATTAAGTGCACTCGCTTCTCTCCTCCTGTTCATCTGTCAATCAGTTTATCTGTCTCTTTTGTTTGTCCGGCAGCAGCAGCAACTCGTGTGCAACTTCCACAATGCGCCGCCGAGACAAAGGGCTGCAACATGGCAATGGCATTGCCAGGATAGCAGTAGCAATGTCCTGTGGCTGCGAATTCCACCACAGCCATCCAGCCACCAACCACCAACCACTCGACCTGCGACTCGTCGCAGGCTTAAAAGGATTGCAAATGGTCAACGGCGAGGCTTCGGAATCGAAATCGAAATCGAAGAGATTCCGCAGATTTGATACGAAATCATTTTGCCAATTTCCCAAGAGTTTTCTACGGAGCAAATATAATCAACCGGAATGTGTTTATCGGAATTAAATAAATTAAATAAATCAATCTCACTTCCTTCCTGCAATGCAAAGACTCAGAAAGTATATTGAAAGACTAACCAACTAAAAGTTATGCAAGCAGTATTATTTGTTCATAACTTTTTAATGAATGGTCCAATTGTACAATTTTCAATAGGAATTACTACAAACAACAAAATGGAATTTGCACTTTTACAAAATCTGTTAAAATATTATTATAATAAAAATCCAACAAATAGCTTACATTAGAAAAATATAAATATATATAAAATAATTGGAGAATATAATATAACATTTGTTAAAAACTTAACTAATAAAAATACAGAATAATTGAGAAAATAAAAAAATATGATAAAAGGAAATAGAAAATATTAATAAAAGAACGATTTTATCGCTTTCTTTCTTTTTTACAAACTTAATAAAGAACTGTATTAAATCCAAACAAAATGTTAAGAAGTCCCCCTCCTGAATTACTTTACTTTAAAACATCAATTGAACATCTTTTATTGCCCGACGCGCAGACCTTATAAATTCTTTATTTCCATTTCTTATTGCCCGAATCGTTGGCGTGCTAAATTCTTAATTTCCACTTGTACTTTTGCTAGTTTCACACCGTAGCCTCGTTTCTCCTCAGCCAAAAAAAAAGGATCTGCGACCCACACACACAAAGATATACCCATACCAATACACACATTGAAATGGATTTTTCCAAATTCCGAACGCATTGCGAACAGCTAACGTGGCGTATCCGTTCGTGCGTTTCTGGTATGCTGACGATTCCGGCACGACAGGAAGTGGAAATGGGGAAATTGGGGAGGTGGTGGTGGGTGGACTGGTTTTTTGAAGGGGCCAAGAAAACGTCGAAAACGCTTCAAAAGATTCAACTTTGTTGCATCTAATTATGGGCAATTTGATTAGGGCTCATAAACAAACAAGGCCACATACATATACACTTATGCGAGACCTACCACCCCCACCCTCTTCACCCACTCACCCACTTCTCACACACACAAACACACCCATACAAGTGTCAATATGGAGCCGCAGGTGGCGCAATTGCCGACGCTGTCATGGCTGACAAAACGCAAACGCAAACAGAAACCGCCGCGGCCTTGTCCCAAAACCCTCGCCAAAAAGCACCCCCCAACGACACCCCCAACCCCCCAAAAAGGCAACCCAAAACTCTCCACGAAAATACCCAAAAAGCAGACCGAATCGAAGCGAACCAAGACAGCCGCCAACTGTTGAATGAGTGGCAACAGTTTCTGGCCAACATATTCGCTGAAGTTCATTTATTCAGAGTGACGGTGTGCGAAATAAACAAAGTTTTGGGACGGAAAGTACCTAAATATGCCATAGAGGTATAGGTATTCTTTTGGCTTTTGGCTTAAAAATATAGAGATTTTTTTTATAATATTTAACGGATGAACTAAAAGTACCTTTGGAAAATTTCAAATCAATTATTGAAATTCATGCTACTTATTTAAAATATGTCATATAAAAATGTGTATTTTCAAATATTTTATAATATTTGTATTTTTAATTACAAATTTATTATAAATTTATTTTATAAATACCCCCAAAGATAGGCTACATTTTTTCAAAATAAAAATTTGTATTAAATACTGGTTTGTTAAATGTTTATTTAAAATTGGAAAAATGAAATTGAAAAGCTTGAAAAAAGCGGCACAAGAATAAAACAAATATTTTTGTGAAATTTTTGTGTATTATTTGTACACCATTCTTTTTTCATTTTAGCCGTCCAATTGTTTTCGTTCAAGCAGAGGCAAAAATAAATCAAAACAAAGAGCCTGAGGCAGAAAATATTTTTGGGTATTATTTAATTGGAAATGGACAAAATGCAGGCATAAATAAATGAACTAATTTAAATAATTCAGTCTGTGTGTGTGTGTGCTGTGTTTATGGCCGTAAAATGAATTTGTTATGGGATTTTTTTGGGTGGGAAAGCAGAGGGGTTTATTTGGCCATTGTTGGCGCGTTGACTTATCACAATGGATGCAGGCGTTGGAAAATAAATAAAATCAAAAATGCGCCGCCGCTGTCGACAAATTGCGAGCACATGTTGTCCCTGGCCATGTCCATGTCCTGCAGCCTGCTTTTGCCTGCCTTTGCTCCCTTAAATGCATCAAAATGTGCAGCCTACTTTTAGGCCTTCACCCGCTTTTCCGGCCAAAAGGGAAAGGCCCCCGTCGACCACCCGCCCCCCGCACAAAAACAATACGGAGAAGGGAAATAAAAAAGGCTGCAACAACGACAGCGACACACATTTTGCGGTTGATATGAATATCGATTCGACCCGTTAACTGTGCCAGCTTGCCGCCCCCTTTTCCCGCCCCCTTTTCCAGCCTGGTATGTAAACTAGAACTTTGTATAAATTTATGTGCACAACAATGTTTATGTTGTTGAATAAACGAGCAGTTTTGCATGCGGCGAACGCCAGGACCACTTGTTATCCCCCTCTCGCTCTCACTGGCTCCCCTGCAAATGTGTTTGTATTTGTGTGACTGTGAGTGTGCGAGTGTGTGAGTGTCCCTGTGTCTGTGTCTGTGTAATGGCAGGATGCAACATGAAAATGGCGTGTGGCTAGCAACGTTTTATTTGCTCGTTCTCTGGTACTTCTCTTCCCTTTTCTTCCCTCTCCCTCTCCCTCTGACTCCATTTTGCCTTACTTCCTTCGAGTGTGTTTGTGTGTGTGTGTGGGTTGCACTTTAAATAGAAATATGCCACACACACACACACACTTACGTAGGGGCAGTGAAAACATTCAATTTCAGTACGGAAATCGCTTAACAGCCCTAAATAATGGTCAATATCTGGGCCTTTGGCTCACGAAGCGATACTTCCCCACACCACCACCCCCTGATTTTCCTTTGCTTTATTTCCTCTTCTTCGGTAAACCTAATTAAGCACATTCAACATTTACCATTTGGGGAAAAGAGATTTTTCGCAACTAGCAGAACACATTAGAGATGCCCTTGTAATTATAAGTAATCATCAGATAAAT